GGATTGATCATCTACAATAAAATTATGTTTATATATTTAAAAAGATCATAGAACCAAGCCCTAGAAGAGGCCACTACTGAGAGAATGATAGACAGTCTCTATCTACATAGGTGTGTGCATATTATAGCATACAATACACATATACACACAGGTATCTTTATAAACTTTTATCACATTGAAGAAATATCCTTCTGGCTCTAGTTTTCCAAGAAGTTTTCATATATCAATATAGGTAAAATAATTTTATATTACTTTTTAAAAAAAAAATAATTTTAAGATTACATTAGACAAGTCATATACTCTAAGAAAAAACAAAACGCAAATTATCTTAGAAGTACCTTCAGTTTTCAGATTATTTACATTGCTATTTCCCTATACTAACAAAGATAATCCAAAGTTGGCCATAGTGTCTTTTAGTTTATTTACACCTGATTTTCATAGAAACTGTTCACATGAAAAATCAAATTTATGAAAATATGAAGTTGAAGTCTAAATCACATGAAACCTGATTTTGGACAGCAAATTTGAGACTCTGCTATTATATTAATAAGCTAGCATGACTGTGTGTGTGTATACACATACATACAAATACACATTGATATACATATATACGTATATATGAATAACAAATAAGAATACATGTATTCATATACATATGAATAGCAAATAAGAGGAAGAGAGCAGGAAGATTACGAAGATGACATTGATGATGAAAATTATGATGATAGCATCAAACATTTATTGCCTGCTTATAATGTATTAATCTGACAAGGTTCTTCAACCTTGACACTACTGACATTTTGGGCCATGTAAGTGGCCAGGTAACTGTTTTCCAGGCTATCCTGTGGATGTTGGATGCTGCTACACATTCATGGCCTCTACTCATCAGATGCCAATAGCATCTCCCCAGTTGTGACAAATAAAGGTGTTGCCAACCAAAACCTAAACCGATTCTGACTCACAGCAACATTATAGAACTACTAGAACTGCCCCATAGGGTTTCCAAGGAGCCGCTGGTGGATTCAAACTGCTGGCCTTTTAGTTAGCAGCGGAGTTCTTAACGACTGCACCACCACGGCGTCAAGAATGTCTTCAGATATTACTAAATGTCCCTGGAGTAGGGGTGGCGGAGAGAGGCAAAATCATCCCTGGGTGAGAACCACTGTAAATGCTTTATATACATTACTGCATCTATGAGATTGTTGTTAGTTGCCATCAAGTCAATTTTAACTCATGGCAACCCTATGTGTGCAGAGTAGAACTGCTCCATAGGGTTTTCAAGGCCGTGACCTTTCGGAAGCAGATCACCAGGCCTGCCTTCCAAGGTGTCTTTGGATGGGTTTGAACTGCCAACCTTTTGGCTAATAGTTGAGTGCTTAACCATTCTATGAGGTAGATACATTATTTCCCCCACTTTTCAGATATTGAAGTTTAAGCTGTTAGGTGTTATGTGTCACTGAGTCAGTTCTGCTCATAGCAACCCTATGTAAATCAGAACAAAACACTGCATGGTCCTGCACCATCCTCACAATCCTTGCTATGTCTGAGCCCATTGTTGCAACCACTGTGTCAATCCATCTCATTGAGGGTCGTCTGTTTCGGTGACCCTCTACTTCACAAGGCATGATGTCCTTCTCCAGGGACTTATCCCTCCTGATAACATGTCCAAAGTATGCAAGACAAAGTCTTGCAATCCTCACGTCTAAGGAGCATTCTGGCTGTACTTCTTCCGAGACGGATTTGTTCGTTCTTCTGGAAGTCCATAGTATATTCAATATTCTTCACCAACACCATAATTCAAAAGCCTCAATTCTTTTTCTGTCTTCCTTATTCATTGTCCAGCTTTTGTATGCATACGAGGTGACTGAAAATATCATGGCTTGGGTCAAGCACATCTTAGTCCTCAAGGTGACATTTTTGTTTTGAACACCCTAAAGAGATTTGCCCAACGTAATATGTAGTCTGATTTCTTGACTGCTGCTTCCATGGGCATTGATTGTGGATCCAAGTAAAATTAAATCCTTGATTCTTCAGTCTTTTCTCCATTTATCATGATGTTGCTCACTGGTCCAGTTGTGAGGATTTTTGTTTTCTTTATGCTGAGGTGTAATCCATACTGAAGGCTGTGGTCTTTGATCTTCATTAGTAAGTGCTTCAAGCCACTTCATTTTCAGCAAACAAGGCTGTGTCATCTGCATATCGTAGGTTGTTAAAGAGTCTTCCTTGAATTCTGATGTTGCGTTTTTCTTCATGTAGTCCAGCTTCTTGGATAATTTGCTCAGCATACAGATTGAATAAGCATAGTAAAAGGATACAACCCTGACACACACCCTTCCGTATTTTAAACCATGCAGTATTCCCTTGTTCTGCTCAAAGGACTGCCTCTTGGTCTACGTACAGGGTTCTGCATGAGCACAATTAAGTGTTCTGGAATTCCCATTCTTTGCAGTGTTATCCATAATATTATGATCCACACAATCAAATGCCTCTGCATAGTCAATAGAACACACGTAAACATCTTTCTGGTATTCTCAGCTTTCAGTCAAGATCCATCTGATGTCAGCAATGATATCCTTCATTCATGTTCTCTTCTGAATCCAGGTTGAATTTCTGGCAGTTCCCTGTCAATGCAATGCTGCAATTATTTTTGAATTATTTTCAGCAAAATTTTACTTACATGTGATATTAATTATATTGTTCAATAATTTCCACATTCTGTTGGATCATCCGTTCTTTGGAATGGGCACAAATATGGATCTCTTCTAGTTGGTTGGCCAGGTAGCTGTCTTCCAAATTTCTTGTCATAGACAAATGAGCACTTCCAGCTTTGCATCTGTTTTTTGAAACATCTCAATTGGTATTCTTTTAATTTCTGGAGCCTTGCTTTTTGCCAATGCCTTCAGTGCAGCTTGGACTTCTTCCTTCAGTACTGTCGGTTCTTAACCATATGCTACCTCCTGAAATGGCTGAACGTCGACCAATTCTTTTTGGCACAGTGACTCTGTATTTCTTCCATCTTCTTTCGATGCTTCCTGCATCGTTCAGTATTTTGCCCATAGAATCCTTCAATATTACAACTTGAAGCTTGACTTTCTTCTTCAGTTCTTTCAGCGTGAGAAATGCCAAGCATGTTCTTCCCTTTCGGTTTTCTAACTCAGGTCTTTGCACATTTCATTTTAAGACTTTACTCTGTTTTCCTGAATCACCCTTTGAAATCTTCTGTTTAGCTCTTTTACGTGATTGTTTCTTTTGTTCGCCTGAGCTACTCTATGTTCAAGAGCAAGTTTTACAGTCTCTTCAGACATTCATTTTGGTCTTTTCTTTCTCTTCTGTCTTTTTAGTAACCTTTTGATTTCTTCATATATGATATCCTTGATGTCATCCCACAACTCATCTAGCCTTCTGTTATTAGTGTTCAAGGCATCAAATTTATTTGAGATGTTCTCTAAATTCAGGTAGGATATACTTAAGGTCACACTTTGACTCTCATGGACTTGTTCTAATTTTCTTTGCTTCATCTTTTAACTTGTACATGAGCAGTTGATGGTCTGCTCTGCAGTCGGCCCTTGGACTTGTTCTGATTGATGATATTTGCTTCTCCATTGTCTCCTTCCACAGATGTAGTCGATTTGATTCCTGTGTATTCCATCTGGTGAGGTCCTCGCGTATAGTTGCAGTTTATGTTGTTGAAGAAAAGGCATTTGCAATTAAGAAGCTGTTGGTCTTGCAAATTCTATCCTGCGATCTATGCCGTAGTTTCTATCACCAAAGCCACATTTTCCAACTACCAAACCTTCTTTTTTGTTTCCAGCTTTTCCATTCCAATCACCAGTAATTACCAATGCATCTTGACTGCATGTTAGAACACTCTCAGACTGCAGAAGTTGGTAAAAATCTTCCATTTCTTCATCTTTGGCATTAGTGGTTGGTGTTTCAATTTGAGTAACAGTCGCATTAACCAGTCTTCCATGTAGGTGTATGGATGTTATCACTGACAGCGCTGTACTTCAGGAAAGATCTTGAAATATTCTTTTTGATGATGAATGGGATGTCATTCCTCTTCAATTTGTCATTCCTGGCACAGTAGATCATATGACTGTCTGATTCAAAATGACCAATACCAGTCTATTTCAGCTCACTGATTCCTAGGATATCAATCTTTATGCATTCCATTTCATTTCTGACGACTTCCAGTTTTCCCAGATTTATACTTTGTACATTCCACGTTCCAATTATTAATGGATGTTTGCAGCTGTTTCTTCTCATTTTGAGTCGTGCCACATCAGAAAATGAAGGTCCCCAAAGCTTGACTCCATCCATGTCATTAAGGTTGCCTATACTTTATGGAGGCAGTTCTTCCCCAGTCGTATTTGGAGTGCCTTCCACCCTGAGGGGCTCATCTTCCAGCATTATATCAGACAATGTTCTGCTGCTATTCATAAGGTTTTCACTGGCCAATTTTTTTAGAAGTAGATCGCCGGGTCCTTCTTTCTAGTCTGTCTTAGCCGGGAAGCTCCACTGAAACCTGTCCACCATGGGTGATCCTTACGGTATTTCAAATACCGGAGGCATAGCTGCCAGCATCACAGGACATGTGAGCCACCACAGCACGACACACTGACAGATGAGCGGTGGATTCTGAAGTATAAGAGGGTTATTAAATTGTTGAAGGTCACAGCCAGTAAGTGATGTTTCACTGTTCAAACTCAGTATGTCTGGCTTCGGAGTCTGCCCTCAAACACCACAATATACTGGAACATGTGTAGAAATACACACATTAAAGAGAGTGCAGACAACTTTCTATTTCTCAGAATTACATGGGAGACGAGAGACCAGGTGAAAATCTTTGCAACCTCTGAAGTGCCATCCAAGTATAAAGGACTATTATTAATATTTAATAATATTTAATACCAGTTGAGCCAGTACAAAATGTTTTACTTATCAGTGCATTTAGTTCATATTAGAAACTCTGTATATTTTAGCTTTTTTAAGAAACTTACGGTCCACAGGAAGTTGTTTGTGTCTCTGGTTATCCCGTATAATGCTGCTGCTACTGTCACTGGAGCTGCTGTTCTGACGGGTTACATTTGCCGGAAACTTGGACACAGGAACAGGTGCTGGAGCAGAAGGTGGAAGGGGGACAGGAACTGGAGCTGGTGTTGGAGGAGGTGATGGAGCGGAGGGAGTATCATTTGGTCTCGGACCATACTCGGTCTTTTGTTTCTATAAAAAGACAAGTAATTAATTTGTATTTTAAAAATACACACTTAGGCTAGGAGAACAAATTGTACTTTGACAGGATATTGTTGGCTATTTATTTGTAAACTTTTTTTTACAAACCGAGAGCAAATTCATGTGTTATATATGTATGCATATACATACATATATGTACATATACACACAAATATACATACTTACATATATGTAAATATATCTGTGTATATATATACATATATGTACATATACATATATACACACAGAGAGATATTTACACACACACATATTTCTACCTCTGTCTGGTATGTTGTTGTTGTTAGGTGTTGCTGAGTCGATTTTTGACTCATAGCCACCCCATTTGATAGCGCAGAACTGCCTTATATTGTTTTCTAGGCTGTAATCTTTACAGGAACAGATTGCCAGGTCTTTCTCCCGTGGAGAAATTTTCATTAATAATTATCTTTTAAATACAATTTTTCAAAGTCAAAAATCTAAGTCAAGGAGTTACAAGAGAGACATCAATAGCAAATGGCTGTATTCATAATGGTCATAAATGTTTAAGAAAAACTAGATTTGGACTTGGAATCACTCAAGACTATCGTAAACCAAAGTTTACTAATTATTTTATAATTTCCACTAATAATTTCTCATTGCTCTGGAAGTCTAAATGTCAGTATCATAAAGTATCCTTTTACTCTTCATTTTAAATATGTTCAAAGATCTTTAGTTTTCCTATTTCCAAGTGATTTGTTAAGAAGAGGGGCAATATTCCAGTAGAAAAGGGTCTATGCTTCGAAATATATAATTTTTAAATGTTATTACTGATTTTTTTAAGTTGTAACCTTTTCTGCCATCATCTTTATACTAATTAATTAAAACTAGAAATTATCCTAATGTTGTGGAGTAGGGGAAGTGAAGGTAATGGTATGTTCTTTAATTAAATGTTATGTATATTAGAAAACGGGCCATGTGGGTAGTTTTATTTTATTTTAAAAAGGTAGATGCAATAAAATATAAAATGACTTCAATCGTTTTTCATTCGTAATTGTTAGGCTATTATAAAACAGTATTCATGTACCCAAGAGTTGAAATTTTAAATCTAAACAAAATAATTGTAATTACAGATAACTACATGGTAATGGACTCCAAATAATCAAAAGGCACAATACCGAGCAATGACTTGTAGCTGAAGTAAAGTCTAGGTACTGCACTGGCACAATTTTAATTATTCTATAATTTAGGATTAGCATATAAAATGCAAAAAGAAAGCCTTTTGATAATTGAGTCCTTAATTAGAAAAATATTTAAAGTTCTAAATTGGCCCAAATATAATACTGATTTTAAGAGAGCTTTCCCCAATTTCCACAGAGATCAAAAACATAAAAACATACACCACAAACACACCACACCATCCTCCATCATAGCTGCCTTCACAGCAAATGATTAACACCTGTGGAAACCTTAGCGGGAAGAAGCCCTGGTTGTTTTCTGCTCTTTAAAAGCTCCCATTCACCAACAAGTGGGGTGGAGAAGCAGAGGAAGGGTATTATGCAAGGATGAAAGTAGAACTGAAAGAGATGTTTATAATGCTGCTAGACATTTGGTGGGGGTTGGAAGGGAGGAAGGAGAGGGGCAGGGAGTGTGGAAGGGAGGAAGTAGAGGGATAAAATTCACAGAGCAAGCCATGGAGTTAGATGCGACAGAAATAGAGATTGTTAACTCCCTCAGCATTTAAGGCCAGAAACATTTCTAATATATTCTATAATAATAATCTTAACAACAACAACCATGTTACTATTTTTATTATCATGCCTAACAAAACACTCTTCTTATATTTGGGCCAATAAAATATTTAAAGCAATCAAAAATCACCAAAAGTTAATACTTAGCACACACCAACGTCATCTCATTAATGTATATGCAATGTTCCCTTGCCAAGAATGTCCTTTGCACACAAATTCATGATGTGCTAGTGAATTCTCACATTAGGATTCCAAACATGTCAGAGTTTAAATTATTGTTTTTAAAGTGCAAACCAAAAAATGCCATGGGCTTAGCTTTCCATGAAATGATTCATTTTTTCTGCTTCCATAAAAACAAGAACAGCTAGTGTTTTGCTATCCATCAAAAAATACTGTGGGAAACTGAATACACTGTGTGTTGGTGGAATCAAGCCTGAAGACAAGCTCACCAAATGTTCTGTGCCTCATTTCACTCATCTGTCATTGCTACATAATACAACATGATCATTATGACCTAACAGAATAATAGGTTTAAAAATGTAAATATTTGATTAAAGAAAAAAAACATGAAAAATGTTTCATTAATTATGCCATAAATTGTATTTACTTGCATATTTTCCCTTTTTCTTGATCCTTTCCTTCTGCTTCAGACTTCCAACCCCTGAAGTGGAAAAGGGGAAAAAATTGCCTTCCTTGAATAATTGTAATCCTTTCTTTCCGGTTCTGAAATGGCAACCAAGGCAACTTTCCCATGGAGACTGGTTTAATGCTATTCATGGTGTAGAGGAAACAGAATCAGCACTGACTTTTCAAATCACTTCCTATGACGACTCCTATCTCTCCACACCCCTCCCAACCCACCACTCAACCACTGGTCTCCTCTTTATTATTTCTGTCTCTCAGCTCTTCTCCACTCTAAGTGCAAAGTTGATGCCTTCAGTGTACGCTCAACTCATGGGAAGTCTTTCAGAGCACAACTACAACCTGAACTTTCTTCTTCTGAACCAAGGGTGCTGGAGCTCCAAATCCTAAAAGGAAATCTTGACCAATTCTTCCCAGTTTGTCTTAGACTTTTCCTGTTTCAACACTGAAAGTTGTGCATCCCCAGAAACTTTCAACTGTGGACAAACCAGGACAGTTGGTCACTCTGGTGTGGACCCATTTTGCACCAAAACTGTCACTTCCTAACTCTTGCCTGTTATCTCCCACAAATACTGTGAAACCTGTGAGAGCTCGTGCTCAACAGCACTGACTTGCTTTTCTGGGTCTCGCAGAGTGGAGTCTTCCCACTTTTCTATCGCTCTCTATTAGGGGAAAATATTTTTCTTTTCCTTCTCTGACAAGTTTCCACCTTACACAGCTTCCAGCTTTTGCAGGCTCTACTGTAGACTTAAAGTTCTATTTAACAAAAAATCTCTCTTCTTCTGAAAGAAATCAGAATTACTAAACCTAAGGACAAATTACTTTCCTTTTCATATTTAAGTCTGAATAAGTCACTTTTCTTTAGCAACTAAAGCTGAGCTGAAATTCTCAAGGATTTAAAAAGTTATTGAGAGATAAGCTCCTGATATGTGCAAGACACTGCTTCAGTAGGGAAATTATGCAAGTAAGCCTGATGATGCAATTAAAATTGAACTGTTCTTAAAATTTTAACCTTCTCTGAATTACACAGGTCTCCTCTAAAATTGGTCTCTTTGGAACTCTGCAGTAAAAACTAGACATAGTTGGAACATTTGGAGGGTGTTAAGTCCAGAGACTGTATCAAAAAATTATATTAAGAATTGCCACGAGGAAACAAATGTGGGTTACCTCTGACAGCTCACACAGTAACTGCTATTAGGAAAATGGAGCAAATCACATCAAATGAGAAAAGTAACACAGGGGATGGAACTAAAACAATATTAATTATAATCCACGTCAAATATCACACAACGTGAGCAAATTAGTTTTTGACAGGAAATTACCTGCCCACAAAATCAATCACTGAAGGAACCTGTAAATATGTGATTTATTTCCATCACTCTTATCCAGCCATGGACAACTTACCATATAGAATAACATAGAATACACTACCGTATAAACACGGTAGACCATGTGAGCAGTAACTATTTGTGTATTAGAGTATTAAGATACAGGTTCATCTTATTCTTATAGCTTAAAAATACAATCAGAATGCATTAAAAATTGATTTTACAAAAGGAAATGTATTAATATATCAAGGCATGATTTTAGTGAGCTTTAGCTTGATACTGGAAGCAGCCTAAACATACACAGAAACACTTCATAATTATGCACATGTGCATGCTGCTCAATGATTTACTTTATATATATATAGATAAAGTATTTTTATAGATATATTTTAGAGCAGATATTATTCAAATTAACCCAAGAAATAGCTAGGAAAACATCAACACATGAGGCAGAATAAAAAGTAACCATACTTGTCTAAAGTCACACCTCTAATTAACAGATGAACAGTCTCAGAGAATAATTTAAAAAACAGATGTTAAAGAATTGAATATTATCAGGAGGTTGGCCTGGATGGAATGAATATGGAGGCATCTTTAGTAAAACGGTCATGCTGTCCAGCAGTATCTGAATGGTCTGGATTGAGCGTGAAAACAAGAGCATTCATAACATGGGCTGAGATGGGTAGTGCCAGGGGATAAGTAGTCACCTACAGAAAATATTCACACTTTCAATTTGGGGCTATTTAAAATGTATATAGATTAATAACAGAAATTACATCTAGACTGGATTGTGGAGATCATATAACCTGAGCCCTTCTATTTTACATATGAGCAAATTGAAGCACAAAAAGTAAAATGCTTTCCTTAATATCACACAGCTAATTAATGGCAGAACCAGGACTAGAATCCTCATCTAGCAATAACTAGATCGGGTTTTTTCCCTACAATATCACCATACCTTGCTAGGAAATAGAGTAGACAGGAGACTTTCTGTTGAATTCACAGTCCTGGAATGGCAGGACATTCATTATTATTTTTGACTCTTCATAGTAGTCATTAGTTAATTCTCAGCTCTAATTTTTCTATACACACACTATCTACCTATGAGAGCAAGAATATTTATAATAATAAGCACATGGTCTTAATCATTAAAAATAAGCAGAAGACCTTTTTAGTTAGGCCTTTGGGTAACTGAGAAAGAACAGTGGGGATGAGGGTATTGGTTTCTGCTCTTAGCATAGCATGAGAATACATGGGCAAACGGCAAATCCTAATGGATGAACAGTCAAAGAGCTACAGTCTGGGAATCAAGTCAAAGGAACATTAGGAAATTTATGCGCACTTGTGGCAAGCAGATTCCAGTGGGGAGAAAGCACTATGGATGTCCATCTGTTGCAAAGGATGAACATCAGGTGGCAACTCAACACCTATTCTCCACTGCTGCCAGGTACTAGCACCCCTGCCATCAAAGCAGAATCTCTAACCAAAAAAAAAAAAGGCCCTGGGATGCTCTATAACAAGATTTTTTTTTTCCGCTTTTAATTTTGAACTCATCTTAGACTTACAGAAAAATTGTTAAAATAACATTTTACATAACATAAATGTTAACATTTTATGTAACAACACAATTACCAAAACTAGAAAATTAACATTGGCACAATATTGTTAACTGAACTATAGACATCATCTGAATTTCACTAGGTTTTCAACTAATATTTTTTGTTGTTGTTTCAAGATCCTATCCAGGATCTCACATGACATTTACTTGTTCGTTCTTTTTTTTTTTTTTCTTCAGATGTCAAGTTGATTCCAACTCAAGGAGTCCTCATGTGTGTCAGAGTAGAATTGTGATCCACAGGGTTTTTTTTAAATTTTATTTTTATTCTTTTCCTAAATTTTATTTGTTTTGTTACTGACAAGATTTTTATCAAGAGACATACCATTTATCTCCATTATCTCTCATAAGCATGTACTTCCTTTTCCTCAGGGCTTCATTCAATCATTTTTTTCATGTTCCGTATCTTTTGTAAATGCTTTATTACCTCCCTCCCTCACTAACTCATTTATTTTTAAAATTTTGCTGAAGCTGTGGGAGAAACACAAAAGGTGAAAATGGCTGCCTTTACAGAACTGCTAAAAATCAGTCCGCAGGTGAAGCTTGTTAAATAGCCTGGACGCTCAGGAACAGCGGGTGGTAGTTCAACACCTACTCCCTACTTTCGCCAGATACTAGCATCCCTACCGTCAAAACAGAATCTCTAACAACAACAAAAAAGCGTGAATAATACACAAGGGTTGTACTTGTGTCCTTCACCCAGGGACTGCCATTATTTATATGTACTTGTTATTCACAGGAAATGTAAGAATATAAAGAGTCACAACTGTGTGCATTTATAAAATATATGGTGACTTACAGATGTTGCATGGAAATAGTTTTCCCCTATTCTCACCATTCACAAAATGTCCACGTTTTAAGTGGATTATATAATCTGGCTATTTTCCTTAATGATGAAGAAAACAAACAAAAAAAAGAGTACACGAAATCCAAGGAAAGGATACAATAGTCAAACATCCAATTTCAAGTGTTGCTCTTTGGAACTGATCAGATTAACTTTTATCACAACACAATGCATGGTAAAGTTATTCTGAGAAGATGTCACTTCAAGCATTCCAACGGTGAAAAAGTATATGTCTATACAAAAAGAGATGGCAGCCCTTTCTAAGCACTATTCCCCAGAATACCACAGCATGTTAGATCACGAGATCTGGATCCAGAGTGCTGGGTTCCAATCCTGGCTTCACACAGTTGTGTAACTGTGGGCACATTACTCCTCAGTACCTTACTGTCTTCATATGTAAAATATGCCTACTTCATAAGGTTGTTGTGTAAATGACTGGCACACAGCACAAGAACTGACGACTGGCACCATTTATTTCAAAGTGTGATTTCTTGCTATCTGTAAATGTGAAGAAAGCTTAAGCAATGAATCATTAGGTGTCTATCTGCGGTGCTGTACCTGAGTCTAAAATGTTTTTGCCAGAAGAAGCTTCTTTACATTTCCTCAAAGTTTTGATATCACTGGATCGAAGAGATGGAAAAAAAAGTGTGTGGACCATTTCTGAGCAGGAAAGAGAGGGTCACTGCAGCTAGTACAGAAAACAAAGGGAGAAGCAAAGTCATGGTGGTTGACTTTGGACTCCATACAGGCTCTCCATCTTTCGATTAAATGTGAGATGCCTGTGCTTCATGAATATTTGTTAAATGGACACATAAAAAGATGAATAAGACTCGGTATTGTTTTTAATATGTTTGTAATCCAGTGGAGTTCTGTAAGGTTAGGGTAGTAGGACCTCTGGAATCTATATAAATATGGTGGTATCTTTATCATCATTCTGACATCAGCTGTATACAGTATTTTTCTTCAGACATTTTGATAGAGGTATCTGGTGACACTGTTGTAGAGATATAAAAATGATTGGCATGCCTTTCCAAGCTTTTTTATTTTCCATCTTACTCTTATTTTTGTTTTATGTTATAAATGCTTTGAGAATTGGAATCCTTTTAGAGTAGGATTTATGCCACATAGCAGATAGCAGACTGCAGAATGTCGACCTCGCTTACCAGAATTTTACAGGAACTTGGTGGTGTGTTGTACTCAGTCCAAAATTTTCAGGAGGTGTTAAAAGGCAGATTATTTTTAATATCTTTTAAAAGTCGGCTCTCAACCCAAACACACACACATAATTTCCACACATATTTCTACATGCATCACTGCATTCATAACTGCATCCAGAAATTTTCAGAAGACAGTTAGATAGTGTTGAAAAGTTTAAAAGGAAACAGCCAAAAGAGGCAATCAATCCCCACTAGGACCACAAGTTTCTCTTTACATAAAGTAGCAAAACAAACTCCTGAAATTCGTGAGCACTTAAAAAATTTCTTGGTTGTGCCAAAGTTGACAAAAACATAAGATGAGGCTCTGTTTAAAAAAGGAGGAATGTATTTTATGTTTTCCAAAAGTACTCCACCTACCTATGATATGTATTAATAGTTTTGGTTCAATTTTAGAGAGCAAGAACCTTTGAACAGAAAAGTCAACTTATGGCTCAAGCCAGGAACCAGAACTAAAGAAAAGACAAGACTGAAAAGTAAAAAGGAAAAGGTGAGAGACACTAAATTCCTTAGGAAATCTTAGGTGGGGGAAAAAAACTAAGAATTCACATTATTTTAAAGTTTATATAACTTATTTATCATAGTTTGCCCTTTCCTAGCAACCATGCACACAAATAAAAACAAACTTGGACAATTGCTTTTAACACCTAAAATATAAACTCTTGGCTTCTGCTCACATGCAGTAACTATGGATATCCTTTGTGAGTAGTGCTTCTTATAGCTTACCATGAGTTAAATATTAAAAACAGTCCATATGACTCAAAGGGTATACATACTCTATCACTGTTTAAGGCATACATTTCAAGCACACATCCTTTCAGTGTTAAAGGCATATGGGCAAAACCTCTATAGGAAACCACATGAAGAACTGACCTTCATAAACCAGACAGAAGCCTGCATTACGTAAGGTAACTACATCTCAAAATCAGAAAAGCAGGAACTTAAGAAAGAAAGAAAGAGGTATAAAAATGAAGTAAGAAAATTCACTTCAAAAATCCATGGGAAATGGAGTGGACCATACCTTGAATAACTCAAACTCCTTCTTTGGCATCAACAGCTAATGACAAATGATGAACATAAAATAAATACATAATATATATGAATATGAGCCCAGCCAAAATGTAAGTACAGCAAACAGAATTTTCACTGCCATCATATTAAGTTATCAAGACATATCAAACATACACTAATTCTTTATTTCTAATGTTTGTTTTAATCTTGGATTCTGATAAGGCCATAAGTCAGTCTGGACAAGCCCAGTGCCTATATTAGGCTGGAATGTCATCAGAAGCCAGAAGTATTTAAACGAATGATCATGGCAGAAGGAGCTTGACCACATTTCTAGGTTTGAACAATCTGTATTTTATTAAGCCTAGACCTAGCATGAAAATGAACTGTTTCACTTCATATTCTATGTAGCTTCTACTCAAATTCATAACATTATTATGGGGTCAGGTGTGATCTTTCGCTCAAGACTAAAAATTCTTGCTGGTGGCACGGGAAAAAAGCCACTCCAAGATCAGAGGCTATACATGGGAGACTCCATCCATTCTGTCCCTGTTGGTGGATCTGACTCTAGCAATCCCGTCACCAGGTCAAGAATCCCAAGAGTTTAACACCAAGTGAATTCAGGTGTTATGGTGGATGAATTTACCAGGGTTAGCAAAATCCTGAAAATGTGGCATGGGCTTCAAGAATTATTCAACGATCAAGAAGAGAGATCCTGACCTTCCTAATCTATGTCATAAGTATGTTTTAACCTTAAAATCAAGAGAGGAAAAATATTATAATCCAACTGAATAAACACTTAGGTAGTAGTATAAGGTGAGATGAGTACACTCTCAATATTGGTTAGTGACTGAACATTTAAGCGACTCTGAGGTCAAGGGCTGGTGAAGATGGAGTACTGGACCTTCCAGCCACCATCTCAGTGCCTATGTGCTCAGTTCCCATATCAAGAGGAAGCCATTAGTGGGTAGGAGGGCTATGGGTAGGAATGAAGAGGGAGAAATGCTATTTCTTCAAACATGAGAAATATTGTAGGTTGGAAAAGTTAGCATTCAAAGAAGCACTCACTAACTGCTAAACATTTTGAGCAATTATATGAAAAGGCAAATCAGAAAGCACATATGTAATTCTTCCTACGTCTCTCACCATTGTCCCCCAATTACCTAAAGCTTTACAACCAATTAAGTCTTAAAATACTCACAAGGAATTTAAATTCTGTTTACGAGTGATATGCTTGAAAACTGTTAAAAATTAAATTTTGCTAAGAAATCAAGATTACCTGTATGGTATGTGTGTAAGGTGGATCAGCACGCCCTAATCCAGAGTCTGGAGTTCTCACAATATCCAAAATGTTATTTGGCACAAATCCACAGTCTCCACTTGCATTTCGAACTTTCCACCATTGCTTCCTATCGTCAAGGATCTGTCATCATGGGAGAAAATAAAAGTGTCTTTTCAGTACCAAAATCAACTATGAAGGAAGTTCAATTTTATTCTTAGACATCAATCAAGAAATTTTTTTCATTTCTAATTTATTTGTGGTAAGCTGACTTAGAATCAACATACTGTGAAATGAATGATTCTCAGGAATTACAGTAGAAATTACAATTACTAGCACAGAACAAGTATGACGCCACTATGGTGAACCTACCCAAGGTCCACATTACCTCCCAAGAATGTATAGCTATTTACATTACCTAAAGTACTTAGAAATGATTAAGATGACTCTCTTGGAAAGTTCTATTGACTCCATTTTTGGAACAGAAAGGAAAAGTATGAAAACCATTTTTTTATAAAAACTATGCTGACCGTTCCACCTTATATATTTAAGAATATGAATTCTTGGTTATAACTTAAGAAAGAGATTTGGGCGTCAAGGCAGACTATTCCCAAAACCATTAGCTCACTAGCTGCTAAGAAGATTTAAGCAAAAATCCTAGGACAGACAGAAGGAAATGTTATTCTTTTATTAAAATGTTACGATGCATCTACATCAGAAGTGAAAACTAGTTATGATTCCAACAAAGAATAAAGTCCAGAAGAAGGACGAAGACACATAACATATAGGAACTTTTACTGAACATCAAAGGAAGTCAAGAAATCCGACCAAAACCAACCACAAATAAAGCAGCGACCCCTCCTAGATGTTATCCTAGAGCTAGGATATAAGTATCTATAATATAATGGATCTCTGCTAATATAAAAAAATTATGAAAAACAATTTCTTGACTACTGAATTTCTTTGAGGAAGGTTTAGATGTAAACCAAAAGAGGAATACAATAACTCCACTTTATTAAGAGTATTAAAAAAAGGTAAAACTCTATTACCTCTAAAATATCATCTTTTAGAACGGAGAGCTCACTATTGTTCCTTGCCCGAAAGTCATACTTGGATTTGGCATATTTCTTGGGTTCTGTTTTGAGTGGGTCATAATTTCTATGAAAAGAAAGGAAAAAAAAAAAATCATTCCGTCAGGTGTTCCTAAAGGCTAGAAACAGAAGTAAAACATTAAGGCAAGCCAAATCCCCCCAGAAAACATCTGACAAATTATTTAGATAGTAGTTTAGTTTCATTATATTTTACAGAATATGAGAACTAAAAGGAACTTCCAAGTTTTTAGTACTGAAATGAACAAACTACAGCTAGGGCAAAAATACACGATGCAAGATCACAAGGCTAGTTGGCACTGAGCCACATCAGAATCCAGATCTATGAATCTTTTGTCCATTAAATACACATAATGGATATTGCTTTGTTAATTAGTATATCTACTGGGAAAGAATTAGGATAAAGATAATAAATGTTTGTTAGCATATTTCATGAAATTAAAGGAGACTAATTTCCAGAGTGGTAATTTACATTATACACTGATCTCACTAAGTCCAGTAATGTCTCTAATTCTCTAACCAAATATATACAAAAAATATTATGACTCAGTATCAATTTTTAGGCAAGTTTTGTCCAGTTATCTAGATTGCAAGGGATGTACAGATTAAGTACTAGCACATATCATAGTATATGGCATCTTATTCTCTGTTAAGACCAATAACAACTTCCAAATAAATAATTTAATTCACTGTAAACTTATTTTAATTTTAGGAACAGGTATGGGCAATATATTTTAAAAAAAAAAAGTTTTTTTAAAAACCAAGGATCTCATCTTTAAAAAAAAACAAAAAAAAAAAAACACGACTCATTGCCATTGAGTCAATCCCAACTCATGGTGACCCCATGTGTTACAGAGTAAATCTGTTCCATAGGGTTTCTTGGCTGTAACATTTGCAGAAGATCGTCAGACCTTTCCTCTGCAGTGATGCTGGGTGGGTCTGAACTGCCAACGTTTAGGTTAGTAGTTGAGGGCAAATCATTTGTGCCACTGAGGGATCAAATCATTAAATAACCATTAATATATTTAACAGCATAATTAAAAATTTTTTATATAAAACACAAAAACCCTCATACATTAATAATGTATTTTCTTCAAACATGTCAATGATAAAATAATAACTTTAACTGTTTTTTATTACTTTACTCCCATATCTCCTCCATGTACATTCCCCATTTCCTCATGCATCTCTATAAGAGAAAAGACAGGAAGGATGTTTAGCCACCTTTCCTCTCTCAAGGGGCCATTCATTTTGCTGCTCGTCAAGGTTCTCTGGCATGGTGAATCACACCAGCATCTACAGGACAGGTGTGGATACAACATATCTGTCATGATAGGTAATTTGCTACTTCTTAGATAGTAACTCCACTGTTGTTGTTGGGTGCCATCGAGTCGGTTCCAACTCCTAGCGATGCTATAGGACAGGGTAGAACTGCCCCATCGGGTTTTCAAGGAGCAGCTGATAGATTTGAACTGCCTACCTTTTGGTTAGCAGCTGAGCTCTTAACCACTGTGCCACCAGGGCTTCAGTAACTCCATAGGAGAAGGAAAATAGGGACAAAGAAAAATGATGATCTATAAGCTGTGCTACCTATTAGCTATTTTTAGTACATTAAAAAGACAAGGGTGGAAAAAAGTAAAATCATGGCCAAATAATCACTATGTATTATTAATAATAACAATTTTAAAACTATATTCCATGGATTCCCTATCTCTGCCTGTTTAGAAACAGCTCCCACTTTTATCTAGTTTATATATTAGCACTGTATTAAGATTTCATCTGGGGGATAAAAGAGACTCAACCACCTTAAAAGTTAGAAAAACAATTCCGTTTTCTTTCTTCCCTTATGTTCCCATCTCTTCATGTTCTGGAGAATAATCCCAATTAATGATGGAGGGTGGAGTGTACAATAACAAAGGAAAGAACTCTCTGCTTCTGGGAATCTAAATTAGCGGGCTGGAAAAAAATCTGCTGCAGTATTCCTCGAGGCCTTTGCTATCTTGTATGTGTCAGAAGAGATTACACAGCGTGCTCTTGTAAAGTGCTTTAGAATTTACAAATCTTATGGTTTATAGTTTCTTGCTCTCTATAGATTAAGCCTGGATATGATGACGACCATAGTTAGCAACCTGAAAATCACAATATGTACCTTTTCAGAAGTCCAAAGTTTCTTACGAGATCTAGAAAGCACCCAAAAGTACAGTCTGTTTCTGATTTGGAGTAACATACAAGCAGTTGATACAGTCAACAGAAATAAACATGGAGACCTGTAGAGCAGAGATCATCTCTGCTCTGAGATTTGAGATGATCTGTGAACTTCTCTGAAACACTAATTGCCCCGGAATAGCAGTAAATTATAATCCCTCAATGGTGAGAACACTAGATTCAACAGATGGTCTATCTAATGACAGGGTAATTTCACTGAACAGTGAATATATTTCATACAGTACCCTCTGCATTCCTGGTATGTAATAGACTTTCAGGTTAATAATGATTATAATAAAAACAACTTGCACAGACACTTCACCAAAAAGGACATTCAAGTGGCCAACAAACACATGAAAAGATGCTCCCGATCATCAGCCATTACAGAGACGCACATCAAAACCACATGAGATACTATCTCACCCCAACAAAAATGGGATTGATCAAAGAAACAGACAACAACAAATGCTGACAAGGTTAAGGTAGACTAGAACCCTGCTCCACTGCTAGTGGGATTTTAAATTGGTTCAACCACCGTGGAAAACAGTATGGAGCTTCATCAAAAAGCTAGAAATAGAATTACCCTGTGATGCAGCAATACCATTCCTAGGCATTAAAAAAACAAAACAAAACAAAACAAAAAAAAACCTTGCCATCAAGTCAATTCTGACTCATAGCGACCCTATAGGACACAGCAGAACTGCCCCCACAGGGCTTCTAAGGAGCGGCTGGTGGGTTCGAACTGCCAACCTTTTGGGTTAGCAGCTATAGCTTAACCACTGTGCCACCAGGGCTCCCTCCTAGGCATATCCTCTAGATATTTAATAACAGTCACACAAATAGACATACACACTCCTATGTTCACTGCAGCATTATTCACAATAGCAAAAAGATGGAAACAACCTAAGTGCCCATCAATGGAAGAATGGATAAACAAATTGTGGTACACACACACAGTGGAATATATACAGCTATAAGGAATAATGATGAGTTCTCAAAATATAACGTGGATCAATCTGGAGGATATAATGCTCAGTGAAATAAGTCAATCACAAAAGGACAAATATTGCATGATCTCACTATTATAAAAAGACAAGAATAAATACACATGTAGAAAGCAACTTTCTTTGGTGATTTCCAGGTATGGAAGGGAGAGGGAGGGGGAATCACTTTATAGACGGTAGACACTTGTTAGTTTTGATGATGGGAAAAGCAATACCAAATAGGGGTAAAGTCAGCAAAACCTGACCAAGGTAAATGATGACACTAAAAAGTACACACGAATAAGGGACAATTTTGTAAATATACACAATTATGCAATATTATGTACAATTCTGCAACAACAGTAATAAC